AGAGAGGGAAACAAAAACAACAATGTAGCTGAGCCCAGATCCTCTCCCGTGGGAGCTGCAAGGGTTTAGTCCTTGCCGTGCATGCAGCGGTGGTAAGCTGTGGCTGTGTTGAGAAAAAGTCCCTGTGCAGCCCTCAGACTGTGGGGGTGAGAGAGAGAAGAGATGGAAACAAAAATAACAATGTAGCTGAACCCGATCCCTGACCGTGGAGCTGCAAGTGTCCAGTCCTTGCCCGAAGGCAGGCAGCGGCAAACTGTGGCTCTGTTGAGACCAAGTTCTCCTACGGGCTCCAAATGGTCCCGCCTCTGTCAGAGACAGTGGCAGGGCTAAGGCCAAGCCCTAGTCAGCCTCCACTGTGGTAAGCCCAAAGCCTCCAGCCCCTCAAAACACCATTGGTCTGTGCCTACTTATCTTTATGATGCTCCTCCTGCATACAAGCAGTGTTAAATTTCCCTCTAAGCAACTCTTCTGGGATGAATTCTGTGGAGACCCTCTGGTATGTGTCACTCCATCGTCATCTTCCCGGAATTCTGTTTATGGATTTTCAAATGTTGACCCATCCCTGCCATCACTGGAATGAATCCCACCTAAGCATAATGGATGGTGTGTTTAAATACTTTTTTATTATATTGGCCAATATTTTAAAAATATTTTTTCATCTATGTTCAGTAGAGACATCAGTCTGTAGTTCTTTATTCCTGTAGGATCCTTGCAGGGTAGAAGATTCTTGGACTGTTTTTCTATTTTTAATTTTGTATTGTTGTTGTTACTGTTTTTATGTTTTTCTTTATATGAAATCCAGGATATGTAAATCTATAGAGAGAGTAAGTGAATGAATAGTTTCTTAAGGTTATATCAGGGAAGGTTGTGGTGAAATGAGGATCTATTATTAATGAGTAAAAGGAAGAAAGTGTTCTAAAATTCATTGCAGCTTTGATTGTACACTCTATTTAATGTTTAAGCCATATAATTGCATAATATGTAAATTATATGTAAAAACTTAAAATTTTAAAAAGAATTCAAGAAAACATGAAATCGGCAGTGCTTTTGTATAAATAAATAAGAATTTCAATGCAGGAAAAAAATCAATTGCATTCATATACATGACAAGTAATATAGGATGAGTAAAGAATGATTTATTTGAATTGCTCATGTGAAAACATACATGAATTCAATAATTTCTACATATATCATCTAATGAACTTGGGTACATTCTTTATAGTTGTGAAAAAATTCTCACTATCCTTAGTCTGAGTCATTTCTCCCACATTAACATAAAGCCACTGCCCTCTAAGTTCCTATCTAATCTTTTAAATTGCTGCTCTCAATTTGATGTCATCTATATAGGTCTTCAAAATAACAAAATCCTCAAAGTAAACACAATATTCTTTTCTAGTTAAGCCAGACTATTATTTGGCTTTGAGAAGACTACAGCTATAATTTTGGTTTAAGATTTCTGTGCAACTGTTTCAAGAAATATTTCAGCGCAATTGTTTCAAAAACTCATCCAGGCTTCCTGAACCTAAAAAATCTGAGTTTCAAGCCAATTTGAAATACTGTTATAAACCACAAGGCATGCCATACAATCGAGTAGATTCTGACTCAAAGTGACACTGTAGGACAGGGTAGATCTGCCCTTGTGAGTTTCTGAGACTAACTCTTTACAGGAATAGAAAGCCTCATCTTTCTCCTGCAGAGTGGGAGGTGGTTTCAAACTGCTGACTTTGTGGCAAGCAGTCCATTACATAACCGCTGTGCCACAAGGGCGCCCTTCTGCTATTAAAATGCCCCCTTTAATAGCATGTTTAATCAAATTGTTCAGTACAAAGAGCTGGGCATCATCCAGTTCTTTTGTTGTCTTAACAGAGGAGGCAGGTGTCCACAGAGGATTATAGCCACAAATCCATTTCCTCTTCCTATTTCTGAATCTCCTTTTTGCTCCAGATAAATGAGACCAATTGTACTTTGGCCACTTAAAAGTATTTAAACACTCTAATTATTTGAAAACAGAACAAACTTATATTTGGTTGTGGAATATCTTGTTCTACTTTATTCACTTTTATTATTTTTATAATTGCCTCATCTTCCCTTTAGATGTTTATGAACACTTGGATTAATAATAAGATCAGTCTTTAATATAGAAGAGGAGGTAAAACTATATAATGGAGTTGATGGACATTCAACAATGTTGGGATTCTAAACACTTTTTTTAAAAATGCAACACACACCTTCCATTGTCATAGCTGACTACTCAAACTCACTGCCAATGAGTCAATTCTGACTTACAGCAAGCTTATAGCACAGGGTAGACCTGTCCTTATGGCTTTCTGAGGCTGTAAAACTTCCTGGGATTAGAAAGCCTCATCTTTCTCCTGTAGAAAAGTTGGTGGTTCTGAACTGGAACTCAATGCATAACCACTACACTGCCAGGGTTCCTTAGTGGCTAAATAGTACTCACAAAGGCATGCTTGTCTCCTGGCTAATCAGCAGACAGAAGAGTTGCTTTCACTCTATTTCCTTCCCTTCCATTATTGTTCCTTCTCTTTCCTGAAAAAAGGGATTAAAAAAAGTACCTTTTATGTGCTGAGGGATTTGCTGTCTTTAGAACCTGAAAGGATCCTTAGGACACAGTCTCGTATCTGCTTGGTTTTCACCCCATAGACAATAGGGTTCATCGTAGGAGGAAGGAGCAGATAGAGATTGGCCACAATGATGTGACAAGATGGAGGAATTGTATGACTACCAAAGCGATTAAAAAAGAAACAGAAGAAAGCCGGAGTGTAGGAGAAAACAATAGCACAGATATGGGCAGTGCAGGTGCTAAAGGCCTTCTGTCGAGCATCTGCAGAGGAGAGGCTGATCACTGCCCGGAGGATCATGGTGTACGAGACTGTGATGCACAAAATATCAAAACCTCCGATTAGGAAGGCAACCACTAGGCCATAGACAACATTGATCTTGATATTGCCACAGGATAACTTGGCTACAGACAGCTGATCACAGTAGGTATGATGTATTATGTTGCCTCTGCAATAGGGCAGGTGCTTTATGATGAAAATAAGGGGAATGATGAGAAACACAGCTCTAAAGAAAGTGGCAAGCCCAACCCTTACAATGACTGGATTGGTAAGGATGGTTGCATAGCGCAGTGGGTAGCAGATGGCCACAAATCGGTCGAGGGCCATAAGCATGAGCACTCCAGATTCCATCCCTGTGAAGATGTGGATGAAGAACATCTGGACCAGGCATTCATTAAAGCTGATTTCCTGGAGATGGAACCAGAAGATGCAGAGAGTTTTAGGAATTGTACTAGTGCACATGACAATGTCAGTTAGGGAAAGCATGGCCAAGAAGTAGTACATGGACTTGTGCAGGGAGTCCTCATAGCGGATGAGGTAGAGGAGCCCACAGTTCCCTACTATAGCCACAACGTACATAGTGCAGAATGGGAAGGAAATCCAGATGTGCATGTGTTCCAACCCTGGGATCCCTCTAAGAATGAATGAGGTTGGTATCATGTCTGTTTGGTTCAACATTATCATGATTAGGTTAGTATGACCATTAAGCAGCTTCTCATGTTTTGTTTTCTTAATCCTCCTAGATTAGGAAAAAGAGAAGGGAAAAAATGATCAGTCATGATCTTTCTCTGTTTTTCCATACTCATTTTGTCTCTCAGTTAAATGGTGAATTTTAAAAACAATTCTTTTTTTATGCCAAGGAATATGTATTTAAACATGTTGATTTACTAATTTATCAGATTATCCTACAAATACATATTTAGTACATACTGTGTCACAGATGAGAAACCCTGGTGGCAGAGTTAGCATGGAGCTGCTAACCACAAGTTCAGTGGTTTGATCCAACAGTGACTCCTTAGAATGACTGGGTTGGTAAGGACAGTTGTGTAGCACACTGGGAAGCAGATGGCTTAAGCACTCCAGATTCCACCCCTGTGAAGATGTTGCTGAAGATGATACTTCTTCTGGGAATAAGGTCTGTGCTTACCTGTTCATCTTCTTTTGCGTCTCAGAAACCCTATGTAAAGTCAATGTAAGTTAGAATCGACTTGATGGTAGTGGGTTCAGCTTTTGGTTTCTTTCACAGATAAGGAGACCTAGTTGCATAACAGCTAAGTACCCCACTGTTAACCAAAACTCTGTCAGTGTAAACCCACCAAATGTCTCCCTGGGAGAAAGAACTGACTATCTGTTTTGGATTTGATCTGGTTTCCAAATTTTTTGTTTATATTGTTTTGTTTGGCTTTTGTTCATTCATAGTAGAGTGTATCTCAGGGATGTTATGTCAATGGAAGTCACCATCTTGAAGTTGAGTTACATGCTTTTCTGTTTTTCGGTATATGAAAACCAGGATTGATGATATTATAGGGACAGCAAGTAGAATAAGGGGTTTGGGGGGAGGGAGGTGCAGTGGGGTGGGGTGGGGTGTCAAGGAGCCCTGGTAAAGAATGGTTGAAAACTGGTTGTGGTAGCAATTGTACAATTCCACTTGATGTGATTAAACTATAGAATGATAAGCTATATGTATCAAATCTCAACTAAAAAAAAGAATAAACAAATATCAATTTCAAAGAATTTCCAGGCTGTTTACATCATGATTATATTTTACCTATCCATACATTAAGACTTAACCTTACTATTCAAAAATGAAAATCAAACTCTGCCATTGTGTTGACTCTGACAAGTTGTGCCCTATTGTACAGAGTAGAATTGCCCGATCAGCTCCCTACACTATAAATCCTTATGGAATCAGATCATCACGTCTGTCTCTCCTGGAACGGTGGCTGGGAAACCACTAACTTTTTGGTTAGCAACCGAACACACCAGAGTTCATTGTTTGAAAAGTGACAGCCTAGAAAACCATATACAGTTAGACTCTGTCACATGACCTCATTATGAGTTACACACCCAAGCGACAGCTCCCAACAGCAGCAATGGCCTCCCAAATGCAGCCACAGAGAGTGTGTCTAAGATACTTGAAAGTCATGGATTCAACCCTCCTAGACCTGAAATCAAATATAAATATGTTATGGCATTTCTGATGGCAGTTTAGTTATGATCTTAAGCTAAAATATTTTGAAACATCTTTTGGGAGTTCCCTTAAGGAAATTTTCCTTGATCACTAAATGCACCTTGTATATTTTTATTGTTGTTCTTATTCTTAATTAGTGGGTCATATTTGTACTTAATATATAACAAAAATGATTTTAATAGGCATTTTCCGATTGTGAATTCATTTAATCATCTCTAAAAACCCAGAGAGTATTATTATCAAACAAGCACTTTAAAATTGACTAAATTGAGACACTTTGTAGAAGAGGCTTCTGTTTCTGAGACATACATTCCACCCAAAAGTGTGCCCTTTGTTGAACTTTTTAAAATTACTTATACAAAACAATTACGTTTTTACTCTAAAAATCAAAAAGTGCCATAAGAAAAATAATCTTTTAAAAAACAGAATTTCCCGCTCTAACTTTTAAAGTCCACCTCTCCATCAGGAGCCCTGGTGGCATCGTGACTGTGTGTTGGGCCACTAACCATAAGGCTGGCAAGTTTGAAATCAGCAGCATCTCTGCGGGAGGAAGAGGAGGGTTAACACTTCTGTAAAGACTTAGCCTTAGGAACACACAGGGGCAGTTCTACCCTGCCCTCCAGGTCACCAGGAGGTAGACTAGACTCAATGCAGTGAGTGTGGTTTAGCTGGTTGCTTTTCACTTTCAGATTTTGAGCTCCCTACTAGCTAATAGAAGTGGTGTCTAGCACTCAGGAGCTCAGCTGCTAAGTGAAAGGTTAGTGACTCCATTCCCTGCCCTGAGACATCTCAGATGAGTGCCCTGCTGGTCTGCAACTGAAAGGGAGTTCCTGAAAACCCAGGGGAGCACAGTTTGACTCCAATATTTGTGGTCCTCATGAGTCTGAATGGACTCAAGCGTGGAGATTAACCATTTCCTCTGTATTTCTAAGTAATATGTCTGTCTATTCTACTTTTTCCTGGTTTATTTTTTAAGATGTTTTTAAAAAATTAGCATTTACACTTACTATCTCTTACTATTATCATTACATTACACTTATTATCATTATTATTACACTCATTATCTCTTACTAAGTCACATGATATAACTACATTTTCTTTCTCAGCCAATAGATTTCCTTTTAATTAAGAGCATTTGATTGCCATATTTTCCAAAATATTCATAACATCCCCTCAAAAATTTGAACATTTTCCAACTTTTATTTTCTTGACATTTAAACAAAATCTGTCCATTCTTCTCCCTGATACCATCTGGCCTCCTTCTAGGAAACTTCTGCTCTCTTCCTCTTCTGAAAAAATACCACTTCCTCAGCTGTTGCATAATTTTCCTTCATGTATTCCTTGTGTTAAATCACTATTTTTTAAGCTGGTGTTTTTCCCTTTTAATGCGTTCAGATAAATATTTTGAGATGTAAGAAAACTACACTCAAAGTGTGCACGCATGTTTTCTTGATAGACAAAATACTCAAAATACCAAGAATAAATTTAAATTTTTGAGAGAAATATTAATGTAAGATAAAGTGGAAGTCAAAGCAAGAAAACATGAGCTCAAGAAACTTTGAGAAATAGAGCATAAAGGCTTTATGCAGTGCATTAAAGCTGATTGTATCAAAAAGTTTTTTCTTGAGGTTTACCAAAGTTTCTCTGCAACCAAATTAATACACAATATTGAAAATACTTTTCTCAGTTATGTATAAAGTAGATGTTTTTAAAAATGGTATTCACTTAAGTCATGTTTCACCTTATCAGCTGATTTTTATTTTCCTAATATAATGTGACCAAACTAATACTTGAAAAGCTAACAGAATTCTAGCTATGTTTATTAGGATTACAAGAACGATGTGGATTTTCTATAAAAGAATTGCATTTTCTAAAAGAAATGTTTTTTCTATAAATGCTTGTATAAAAAAATGTATATATTTTTCAGGCTTGTATATGCATACTCCATATTTTTATGCAACATATTTTCTGACTATTTTCACAGATATTACAGGTATTTTCACAGATTATTAGCATAAATGGCTAGAATGAGAAACTATGTATATTTAATAATTGATTACTAAGAAAGTAAGATCACTTTTTAGATTATTTTTTGATGAATAATTAACTGTAGTTATTGCTAGATGCCATCCAGTAAGTTCTGAATTGTAATGATGCTATACACAATCAAAAGACTGTTCCGTGTTTGAAAACTCACTGCCGTCAAGTTGACTCATAGAGACCCTATAAGATACTACAAACTTCCCCTGTTGGTTTCCAAGAATATATATCTTTACAAGACTGGAAAGCCTTCTCTTTCTCCTTCAAAGTGGCTGGTGGTTTCTGACTTGTCCTTGGAGTTAGCAGTCCAATATGCAACTCCGATGCCACCAGGGCTCCTTAGTGTTTTACTGGTGTATATGTAATTTTAACAAGTTCTTGAAAATAGAACTCCCTCTAAATAAATACATTTATTTAGTCTCCCTCTAAATAAATACATTCAAACAATAAACTCTAGTCTCTGTGTAGCCATACATCAGAAGCAAGTAGGTAAATTAAGGAAAGCACCCTCCAAAAAATAAACAATAACAAGTATTGCTTTCAATTCAATTCTGACTCCTGGAGAGGCTAAAGAAAAGAGTAGAATGAGGTCAATAAAATCCAGAAAATGAAAAAGATAAAAGAACTTGTTCTTGAAGTAAACACTAAAACAAAAAGAAGAAATGATGACAAGTGCTTAGTGGAGAATGTCAAAGACCTGCAATAGGATACCAAGTAAAACAGGATACTGAAATGTGCAAAGACCTGGAGTCAGAAACCCGAAAAGGAAGAACATGCTCAGCATTTCTCACACTGAGATAACTAAAGGGAAAACTCAAGCCTCAAGTTTCAATATTGAAGGATTTTGAGGGATATTGAACAGAAGAGTTAACTATACAGAAAACATCAAAAGAAGAAGGAATGAACAGATTCATTGTATCAAAAAGGTTGACTGCTATTTAACCATTTGAGAAAGGAGCATATGATCAAGAGCCTGTGTACTAAAGGAAGCTGTCTAGGCTGAACTGAAGGCAAGAAACAAGACTCCAGGAATGGAGGAAATGCAAATTGAGATGTTTCACCAAATGAAAGCACACAGGAGGTGCTCACTCAAAACTAACACACAAAATCACTGCCATCAATTTGATTCCAACTCATATAAACTCTATAAGACAAGATAGAACTCCTCCTGTGAGTTTCCAAGACTGTAACTCTTTTTTTAATGAAAAAAATATTATTGATTGGGAGTTAATACATATATCACAGCATTCCATAGTTCAATCAATCCTGTGTTTCATATTCCCATAAAAACCAGAAAACATATCACATAACTTCACGAGGGTGACCCCCCCCAATGATATAACACCGCTGAAGTAAACCCTAATATGAACAAAGAAAACAAAACAAATATACAGAAAATGTTGACAACAGTAGTAGAAAGCCCCATCTTTCTCTAACAGATCAGCTGATGTTT